ATACAGATAGATAGATGTACATTTCCTTCTAACCATGCTGTAGCTGCATTTTGTAAGTTTCATTTCATGGTTCTATTATCATTAAGTTTAAAATATTATCTAATTTTTGTTTTGATTTCTTCTTTGCTTTATCAGTTATTTAGAAATGTATGGACTAGTTTTAAAATATATGGATTTTCTAACCATCTTTTTGGTATTTTGTTATTCACTTCTGGCATAATTCCACTGAGTTCAGAGTACACATTCTGAATGATCTCTGTCCTGTGAAATGTGTTCATACTCCTTCACATCCCAGTATATGTTCAGTTTTGGTAAATGTTCTATATGCATTTAAATATGTATATTCTGTCATTGTTGGGTATAGTGTTATAAGTATATCATTTAGATCAAGTTTGTTTATCTTGTTATTCAGATCCCCTATTCTTAATGGTTTGATTTGTGAGTTATTGAGAATGGTATGTAAACATATCTCACTATCATTGTTAAGGTTTCTCTATTTTTCCTTTATACATTTTGAAGTTATATTATGTGAAAATGTAGATTTGTTATATTTTCCTAGATAATTGAACCTTTTGTCAATATGAACTATCTTAAAGCCTGTTTTCTCTAATATTATGAGATTTGTCTGATATTAGTATAGGTATACCAGCTTTCTTGTGGTTAGTGCTTGCTTGATAAATCATTTTCCATTCTTTTCTTTCCTTTTAATTCTGGATCTATATTTTTGATATTTCTCTCCTGAGTGCCATATAGTTGGATTTTATTTTTTTAATCCAGCCTCACAACCTTAGTTTTTTATTTGTTTGTTTGTTTGTTTGTTTTTGCAGTACGTGGGCCTCTCACTGTTGTGGCCTCTCCCGTTGCGGAGCACAGGCTCCGGACGCGCAGGCTCAGTGGCCATGGCTCACGGGCCTAGCTGCTCTGCGGCATGTGGGATCTTCCCGGACCGGGGCATGAATCCATGTCCCCTGCATCGGCAGGCGGACTCTCAACCATTGCACCACCAGGGAAGCCCAACCTTAGTTTTTTAATAGGAGAATTTAGACCAATTACTAATATGTATAGGATTGGACGTCTGCTATTTCATTATTTAATTTTAATTTTACTCACCTGCTTTAAGTCCATTTTTTTTCTTGTCTTCTTTTGAATCAACTATTTTTATTGTTGCATATTCCAATGAGCTTGTACCTTCTTTAACTAGTCTTAAAGACTGTATGAGCGTGTATCTTCTTTAACCAGTCTTTTATTGGTAAGTCTAATAAGTAAAACCAGCTTATTACTATCCAAAATAAATAATTCCCAGGCAATGCTAGTAGCTTAAAACAATACTATTTTCTTTCTTTCATGTCTTGTGGTATTTTTGCTATGTATTTTAATTATGTATATATTTTCAACCTCTCAAGACATTATAATTATTGTTTTGTGCAATAATATTTTTATTTACTCTTTCCATTGCCTTTTCTTACTTTTACACCTGGGATTATCTTTCTTCTGCCTCAACACTCCTTTTATTGTTTTTTTTTAATATGGGCCTGCTGGTGACACAATCCCTGTTTTTATTTGTACAGAAATATCCATTTCATATTTACCTTTTTGGGACATTTTGTTTCTATTGGGTTCTAGTTTAGCAATTATGTTCTTTCAGCACTTCAGATGCTATTTCATTGTCTTCTTCTTTTTTTTTTAAGACAATTACAGAGCTATTTTAAAAAATTTATTTAATTTATTTTTGTCTGCGTTGGGTCTTCATTGCTGCACGCAGGCTTTCTCTAGTTGTGGTGAGCAGGGGCTACTTTTTGTTACGGTGCGTGGGCTTCTCATTGCCATGACTTCTCATTTTGCAGAGCACAGGTTCGAGGTGTGTGGGCTTCAGTAGGTGTGGCATGAGGGCTCAGTAGTTGTGGTTCATGGGCTGTGTAGCGCAGGCTCAGTAGTCGTGCTACACAGGCTTAGTTGCTCCACGGCATGTGGGATCTTCCCAGACCAGGTCTTGAACCCATGTACCCTGCATTGGCAGGCAGATTCTTAACCACTGTGCTATCAGGGAAGTTCCTATTTCATTGTCTTCTGTTTTCCCTTGTTTTTGGTTGAAAAGAGAGCTATCCGTTTTATTTTTTTCTCTTTTAAAGGTAATATATTTTTCCTCTCAAGGAAATTTCAAATTAGTCTTATGTTTTCAGTAGTTTGACTATGGTATATCTAGGTGGATTTTCTCTGAATTTATCCTGCTTGCAGTCTGTTGTGCTTCTCAAATTCATTTTTCAACCTTTTTTTTTAAAAATAGTGTTTTTTGCCCCATTCTTTTCCTCCTCCCATTCCAGAACTCCAGTCACACATGTGTTAATAAATGTTTTCACCATGTCTTATATGTCTTTTTAAATTTTTTCCTCCAGGTTTTACCATGGATATTTTCTGCCTATGTATTTTTTTTTTAGTTCACTATTCCTCTCTTCTGCTATGTCCGATATACTGTTTCTTAAAATATTTATTCATTTTATTTATTTATTAAAAAATTTTTTTTTCTCTGTGTCAGGTCTTTGTTGTGGCATCCAGGATCTTCTTGTTGCAGTGCAGAGGCTCTTCGCTGTGGCACGTGGGCTTCTCTCTAGTTGTGGCGTGCGTGTTTTTTCTCTCTCTAGTTGTGACACTTGGGCTCCAGAGCACATGGGCTCTGTAGTTTGTGACACACGGGCTCTATAGTTGAGGCACACAGGCTCAGTAGTTGTGGCACACAGGCTTAGTTGCTCCGTGGCATGTGGGATCTTAGTTCCCTGACCAGGGATCGAACCCCTGTCCCCTGCATTGGAAGGCAGATTCTTTACCACTGGATGATCAGGGAAGTCCCAATGTCCAATATACTGTTAAAGCTATCTATTGAGTTCTTAATTTCAGTTATATTTTTCAGTTCTAGAGTTTTCATTTGATTCTTTGGTTCCAATTCTCTGTTAAAGTTCTCGTTCTTATCTGTTTTATTGAACATGTTAGTCACACTTATTTCAAACCCCATGTCTGATAATTTTGGTATCTGAGTTCTGAGGGTCTTTCTCTATTGTCTGTTTTTTCTCTTGATTCAATAGTTTCTTAGTACTCCTGGTACTTTTTGACTGAATCCTTGACATCATGTGTGAAGGAGTGAATACACTCTGGATGATGTTATGTTCCTCCAGAGAAGATTTTCCTTCCCTCTGGTAGACAGCTGGAGTACAAGCAAACCACCCTAATCCATCCACCCAGGGACCCATTAGCTGGAGATTGGGTTGAATGTTTATGAAGCTTTACCTATCTCTTGTTTGCCCTTGCTGTTAGGTTGTAGCCCTCCAGGAGTCCCAACCGAGAGCTTTACATGTTTATTCTGACCACTGTTCACCCCACAGCCCCCCAGAAGGTCCTGAACTCCAGTTTTTGGCTCAACAGTACTATAAGACTATAGAGAATTCTGAATTTCTGCTTAGCTTAGTCTCTTGCCCTGAGAAGTTTAAGAATTCAGCAAATTCTCTGACGAAAAAAAACACTGTTAGAATCACCTCTATATTTCCCTTCTATCCCAAATATTAGACTATCAAGTTGGCCTCAAGTGATATCTGATGCCTTTAGACAGATTTTTTTTTTTCAATTCAGATTTTTCGGGTGTTTTTTGCAAGAATCTGGTCTTCCACAGGCTACTTTGTCAGGTCCAGAAGCGAAAGTCAGTTCTTAAGATTTTGAGATTTGGCAAAACTGGTGTTTAACTTTAAACATTCTTTGTTTTGAGCAAGGATATATTATTGTAAGCTCACAAGGATTTTAGCCTTTAAGTGCACCTGTTTAACTTTCTTTTCCAGGTAAGTACAAGGAGTTTTATTATTATTATTATTATTATTATTATTATTATTATAGTTCTTTATAGATTTTCTGGAGTGAGTAGGAGAAAAAAGCATTGAGGGAGGCTTGTTCTTGATAGGCTTTCCCAGGAATCTTTGCATCATCTGTGTTAGTATCAAGTCCTTATCATTGCATTTCTTAGTACAAAGTCTTAAATAGACTTAACACAAAAGACAGATATTCACAAATACGTACAGAAAACTAGTATGCATTCAGAACTCTACTTGTTAATATCAGGATATCCATGAGACCAAGTGAGACTGTTGTTGAGTAAGTGTGGAATTTGTTTTTTGGGAGAGGAATCATTTTGTCAGACAATTCATGGGACCTTGGGCCAGATCCCAGTAGCAGAGTCCCATTTCTTATGACTATTATACTCCTTTCCCCAAATTCAGGGCCTTGCCTCCAAGACATACTGGATATATCCTGGCAGATTTGCTGCTTTGTTCCTAATTTTTTATGCTCACATATACATCCTCATGGTACATTTTCCTTATATCAATGTCACATTATTCATATAGGTTTGAAGATGTTGCTTCCTCACTGGTAGCAGGAGGTTCTAACTTTATTAGTAGGTATCAGTGTTTCACAGGCTCTATAGTAGCCTAAATTTTATTTTCCATCTGAATGCTAAAATGTGTCTATAAAACATAAATGCTGGTTTTAGTAGTTACTCTGAAGCTGAACTTTTTTTCTACCAAGAGCTGACCTCTAGTTTCAATGGTTTCTTAAGGTCACATCTAGGTTATTTTAAAGACCATATCACGAAAACAGATAAGGTACATTTTTTTCTTATCTGTTAGCATAGTGTGGTCTTAGAGGTGTTTTTGAGGCTTCAAAATTCAGGTAACTTCTCTGTAATCACAAAGAAAATAAATATTGTACTCAGGATCCCAGCTCAGGCCTGTAACTTCTGAATGCCAGCTCCAAGCTCTCCTGCTTCATACATTGTATAGTTGTCAACCCCTTCCTGCCATGTCCTCTGTTCACCTCTTCTCCCTTTTCCTGTTTTATCTTCACTTCAAGAAATCTTCAAAATTACAACCTCTCTGTTAGCATTATAAACAAGGTCACGTTCTTATCCCAACTAGATGTTTTACTAGGATAAAACAGACATTTGAATTTTTGATGTCTTTCAGATTGGATGACTACACCTGTGGGTAAGAAATCAACTCTCAAGGCAGATATTCCTGAAGGAGAATTGGGTCAGTGGATGATAAAGGAAAAATTCACGAAAGATACTCACTGGAAATATGATACACTGTTGGAATGGCAGCATGGAAGCCAGGAGATAAAGTTGCAGCAAGTGATGCTTGCTCATGAGAAAACTTCATCTGTGGTTGGTGTCCAGAAATGTGATGAATCTGGGAAGCACTGCACCATGAGCTCATCCTTTGTTCAGAGTCAGGGATTTCAATCTAGCAAAAAAGCCTTTGAGTGTAGTGAGTGTGGAAAAGTCTTCACTAAGAGTTCAACCCTCAATAAACATCAGAAGATTCATACTGAAAAACTTAATGCAAATCGGAAAATTCTTATTAAAGAGAAGCGATATGAATGTAGAGAATGTGGGAAAGCCTTTCACCAGAGCACACACCTCATCCATCACCAAAGAATTCACACTGGTGAGAAGCCATATGAATGTAAGGAATGTGGCAAGGCCTTCTCAGTGAGCTCCTCACTTACTTATCATCAGAAAATTCATACTGGAGAGAAGCCTTTTGAATGCAACTTATGTGGAAAAGCTTTTATCCGAAACATACACCTTGCCCACCATCATAGAATACATACTGGAGAGAAACCTTTTAAATGTAACATATGTGACAAAGCCTTTGTGTGCAGGGCACATCTTACCAAACACCAGAATATTCATAGTGGAGAGAAACCCTATAAATGTAATGAATGTGGGAAGGCCTTCAATCAGAGTACAAGTTTTCTTCAGCATCAGAGAATTCACACTGGGGAGAAGCCTTTTGAATGTAATGAATGTGGGAAGGCTTTCAGGGTGAACTCTTCCCTTACTGAACATCAAAGAATTCATACTGGAGAGAAACCTTATAAGTGTAACGAATGTGGGAAAGCTTTCAGGGATAATTCATCCTTTGCTCGACATCGGAAAATTCATACTGGAGAGAAACCTTACAGATGTGGTTTGTGTGAGAAAGCCTTCAGGGACCAATCAGCCCTAGCCCAGCATCAGAGAATTCATACTGGGGAGAAACCTTATGCGTGTAATATATGTGAGAAAGCATTCAGTGACCATTCAGCCCTCACTCAACATAAGAGAATTCATACTAGAGAAAAACCTTATAAATGTAAAATCTGTGGGAAAGCCTTTATCCGAAGTACACACCTGACTCAACATCAGAGGATTCACACGGGAGAGAAACCCTATAAATGTAATAAATGTGGGAAAGCTTTCAACCAGACTGCAAACCTCATTCAGCATCAGAGACATCATATTGGAGAAAAGTGATATGGAAGAGCTTTGAGACTAAGTGTATTAATTATTGAATGCAAGAGAATTTCCTTTCTACAGAATAACCATGAAAGCTTACATGAAGATAGTCATTTTATTTACTGAGAGTCAAGGCTCACAGTAGTGTGGGTTTTGAGAACTTAAGAATGTCAAACACTCCTCATAATTCAGAACTGCCTCAGTTGAATAGTCTGAATTAGTCTGAATTACCAAGTATCAGAACCAACATGGACCTTCATTAACAACATAGAAATTAGTTGACCATTAAGATAAATTATAAAATTGTAAAAATTGAGAAGCACGGGAACAAAAAAGTAAGAAAATGGTCTATAAGCATTTTACTGTACTTGATTCTCTTATATAGGAGGGTTTCTACCTTTAATGGAACCCTTTGTTTTCCTCACCCCCACTGCTTACACCCAGTGTAAAGAAAGTGCAGTCACCTGTGCATTGGCCCAGGAGTTACTTAAATTATGCTTCCCGCCTTCTGCTTCAAACCAACTTTTGTCAGATTTCCCTGGTTCGTGTGTCCACTGGCTTCTTACCTGTATTCTTCTCCTGGGACAATTCATTTGAACTGTGTGTCCCTTTTTGATTTAGCAACTCCTAACTGATAACATCACGTCAGTTACTACCACCCAGTTTGCCCTTGAAGACTGTGGTTATCTGACCTCACACACAGTCCATGATTCTGGATGTTGTTCCAAACCCAGCTTTCAGAACTCAGGACCCCTATCTGGAAGGCAGAGGTTGATAAAAATTCCTGAGTAACCCAGGTCCTCTGGGCTTCAGTTTGACTCTGACCCTCGGATAATCCCTAAAGTAGGGGCTTAATCTGTGCACACATTCCCCCCGCCAGTTGTTCTGCACTGTAGTTATGCTACACACGGCAGTCAGGGGCATGCTCAGCTTCGGGTGTAACGATCCCAGCCACCTAGAGATGTTCTGGGCACTGCTACTTCTGTGACTTGCCATTTCCTGATGTGCATCTGACAAGGGAGGTTAGAGCCTCAAGGGAGTTGTCAAAAGGCTCTCACCCACTTTTTCCCTTGGCTGGGCAAACCTCTGTGTCCACTGCATTAGTGTATATTTGTTACTCCCAGAATATTGAACTGCTGCATCCTGGTTCTTGCCCTGCTTTGTCTACTTTTCTGAAGGTATCAACTCTGTTCACAGAAAACACAGAGAGCTTTGAATTTCTGATGTTGCATTTGGAAGTGGCCATTTCGTGTCCTCCACCTGGGTATTCCACACTTAAAGATTACCCCGTTCTGACAGTGGTGAGCAGCGTGTTGAGTAATTCCATGGAGTAGTCAACAGCACCATGACATTCTCTGGCAGGGGCAGTGTCCATGCCCAGAAGTCTGAGTAATACTCTAGTCCTGCAGGTACAGTTCCTTCACTATCTTTAATTCTTCAGTGCTGTCAGTAGAAGTCACAGATAAAATAACATCTGTGTCCCTTCACACACAGCCTCTGGGGGCACCTCCCCTTCCCCACCACAAAGAATGTGGAGCCTGCACTACTGCAGACTGGAGCATACTACAGCATGAAGATGGAAGAGCAAGTCAACTGTTGTCTGGGAAGCAGTGTGACAGGTTCCTGGTCTGTGGAAGTGCTCTCTATCAATTTGGGGAACTGCCGGCCCCTACGAATGCTGCACCTCAGCTCCAAGTTACAGGAGAGGATAGTCTGTCATGGTGGAATCAGGACTTCAGGTTGAACATGGACTTGGAAGCTTCCAGCAGCTTTAAATACCCAAGTTCTCTAAATTCAGCTCCCACCTAATAAAGGCCACCAGTGTGGGTAGGCATCTCCTGTTAGATCAGCAACTCATCCTTTCTTCCCTATTGAGCTTCAGGTGAAGCAGCATTTCAAGAGGTTGCTTGGAACTCTCCATGCCCTGGGCCCACACATGTTCATCTGCAGCCTTACATGGCTGGCAACTCCAGATTCCACAATAAACTTGGAAAGCTGCTCACTGCTACAGAGATCTGCCTTCAGTACTATCCCTATGGCCCGCCTTGTCCTCGCTATTACCTCCTTGCCCTGAATCCCTCACAAGGAACATATTTCTCAGCTAACTTTGTTGTTCCTTTTTTTTTCTGTATGCAGGCCTCTCACTGTTGTGGCTTCTCCCGTTGTGGAGCACACGCTCCAGACGCACAGGCTCAGCGGCCATGGCTCACAGGCCCAGCCGCTCCGCGGCATGTGGGATCTTCCCAGACCGGGGCACGAACCCGTGTCCCCTGCATCGGCAGGCGGACTCTCAACCACTGCGCCACCAGGGAAGCCCATTCCTTTTGTTTTTAATGAGAGCTGCTGCCCCTTGGAATGTGCTTGCATTTGGGCTAAGGCCAAGACCTTCTGCCACTCATCCCAGTGGCAGCTCCAGCAGCTGTGCTTCCACCAGCATTAGTGTAGTCTGAAGGCCCTCCATATGATTACAGTCCACTTTCCCTGAGCCCACCACTGTCAGGCTTGGGTCTTCATGAAATTATACCTCTGAGATGCCTCTGAGATGCCCCCTGGCTGGGGAGGCAAAAAGTAAATGGCCTATTAGAAATGCCTGAATCAACTTGGATATATTTATGATAGTACTGGTCATCTGACCAGACCATTAGCACTGGCTTTATTCCATTATGCCATATGATTAACACCTTATGGTATGACCACCTCAACTAAGTGAGCCAAAATTTGCCTGGGTGCTATTTCATACTTTTAAAATCTGAAGTAGGTTCTCCACACTGACAGTCTGACCTTTGGCTTAACCCCCCAAAAGTGCGTTTTTGAGAACTCTGAGTTAAAGTCCCTCAGCCACCTTTTCTTCTGCCAGCTGATCTGCATGGTATTAGACAAGAGTTGAGCAATTATTTATTTTTTAAAATTTCTTTAACATACTTTATCTCATAGTATTTTTCGTGAATACATTGTTATAGAAAAAGTCTAAAGTAATGTAGATAATATTAAGCTTATATTGGTGAATTAGTTTATAAAAAATATATTCGTATGAATTGTCTTATCTGTGCCTAACAAGAGTTGAGCAATTATTGACAGGGACTTTTCTCTACCCCAACCTCCTAGGAGAAGCAGTTCATTCTGCACCTCGCTTTTCTAGTTTTACTGATAGACACCATGACAGAAGATGAGGACCACTGTTTGGGACACTCCAGGGTTAGATGTGCCGTCCTTAGCCCATCCAGCCCATCCCCCACTACTCCCTACTGGCACAAACACTTCCCAGCACACCCACGACTATGCCATCTCAAGATAATGGGTCTGGGGCTTCCCTGGTGGTGCAGTGGTTAAGAATCTGCCTGCCAATGCAGGGGACATGCATTCGAGCCCTGATCCAGGAAGATCCCACATGCCACAGAGAAACTAAGCCCGTGTGCCACAACTACTGAGCCTGAGCTCTAGAGCATGTGAACCACAACTGCTGAGCCCGTGTGCCATAACTACTGAGTCCGCATGCCTAGAACCCATGCTCTGCAACAAGAGAAGCCACCGCAATGAGCCCGTGCACTGCAAGGAAGAGTAGCCCCTGCTCGCTGCAACTAGAGAAAGCCTGCGCAGCAACGAAGACCCAACGCAGCCAAAAATAAAAAATAAATAAAATTTTTTTAAAAAGTGGGGCGTGTGGGTAGAGAGAGTTGGGAACCATGTGAGCAAGATGAGATTGGATGGGAAGAGGCAAGACCACACAGCCGGACCAGCCTGTGCGATGAGCTTTGGCAGTTTAACACAAAGGAAGCTACTGCCAGGTTTTAGCTTTTGCATTTCAAACTTCTAAGCTACAGAGAGTTCCCACTGATATATAAATTTTACTAGAGCATAAAAGATTGTAAATTTTTCTGATTTTTTTCTTTCCCAATTAATTTCCCTTGTAATGAATAAGAAATTCCAAAATTGGAAAAACTATTTAACCACCTAAAGTTCAATTGCTAATTTATTTCAGCAATATACCTTAACCAACGTACAGGGTTGCTCTCTGACACAACCCTGATTATTGCCTGATGTTATTTTATAATTTCTAGCTCTTAGATACAAAAAATAAAGAATTATAAATATATTTTCAGGCAGGCATATGCCAGATTACCCCTGGTAAGTTGCCCCAGGCTCCTGACCAATTTTCTGGTGTGCTCCAGTCCATCTTCCACTCCAGCAACCAGTGATGTGTCCACCCTGTAGATGGTGAGGTCTCACCTGCTTAAAAGCAAGGCCTTCAAGACCCTTCACAACCAGATCCATGTAGACTCTCCAGCCTCATCTCCCTACCTTACCCTGCAAAAATGGAACTGCCAGTAGCTCCTGGCATGCCAGATTGGGTTATCATCATCTCTTTGTCTAGTTCCCCAAGAAGGCTGTGAGCTAATGTTAAGAACTTGGCCCAGAACCCAACTCAAATTGAGCACATAGTGGTGTCAACAGATATGTGTTAAATTAGTAAACAGGTGATCCTCACTATTTCCAACAAATAATTTGCTGAGGCCTGTATGGTTTATGACATATCTCTTTAAAGTAAAATGCCTTCAGTTGGCTTATGGGTTATAAAATGCACTTCTATTCCCAGGGCTACATTATAAGGGAAAATTCTGTACTCAGCCAGCTACCCTGTGTATAAATGTTGGGGAGGAGAAAGGAAGTGGGAGGAGTGGCTGCGTTATCCTCTGAGTGTTATTCAGTAGATATATCACTGTTTTTAAAGTGATTTCTTTTTTTCCTTTTTGATAGCACGTGGTACAAATTCAAAACTTGTACAGTGAAAAGCAACTGCCTCTCTCCCATTCCTCCACCTTCCCAGTTTCTCTCCCCAGAGGCAACAGCAGTTACCAGATTCTATGTGTCCTTCCAGAGATAGTCTATACATATACAAACCGCAAATTTTTTTTTTTTTTTTTTTTGCGGTACGCGGGCCTCTCACTGTTGTGGCCTCTCCTGTTGCAGAGCACAGGCTCCGGAGGCCCAGGCTCAGCGGCCATGGCTCACGGGCCCAGCCACTCCGCGGCATGTGGGATCTTCCCGGGCTGGGGCACTAACCCGTGTCCCCTGCATCGGCAGGCGGACTCTCAACCACTGCACCACCAGGGAAGCACCCCCCAACTTTTTTATAACGCAGATACTAGATATGTTGTCCTGCGTTTTGCTTTTATTTAACAACATATCTCAAAGATGTTTTCATTGTAGTACATATAGAACTTCCTCATTCTTTCCGGTGGCTGCAAAATATTCCATTGCTTGTGATAAAGGAAATATTCACATATTGAAGTATGGGGAAGTCATTCTGGCTTATACATGTGTTAACTTGAATTTGATGCTAACTAAAACAGCCTGTTTGTGGCCTATCAAACATACATTGTACATCTGCTTTAATTATTAAAGAAAAGGACACATTGACCAAAAGTAATGTCCATATTAAAAATAAAGATTAAATGCCTCCCTTCCTGGGACACCAATGCTGGTACTCCTTCTATGATAAGGCCGCTTCCCAGGTGCCAAGGCCATACTGACTTACTGTGTATGTGCTGATCTGTTTTTTGAAAACTTGAAGGAATGTATCCCTGCCTTGTTTAATGTTCTTTGTTCTAACAAGATATAAAACTGTGCTGAAAGCCATGCTTCTCCGGAGCAGTTCCTCAGAGTTATCTGAGAGGCTGTCTTCTGGGCTATGGTCCTCAGTTTGGCTCAAATAAAACTGTTTTCTATTCTTATTATAGATTATTTATTGGTTGGCCTCATCGACACATGGATGCACCATAATACACTTAAATCAGTGCTCCCAACTGAGGTGCAGTGAGGTTGTTTTCAATCTTTCATTATTTCAAACAATGCTGCAATTAATGTTCTTAGATATGTGCCATTTCATGCAAGTATTTCTGGTGGAAAAACTCCCTGAAGTGAGCTGCTAGGTTCAAAGGGTGTGCGCATTTTTAAATTTAGCAAAACAGTGCCATCTAGCTCCCCTTAGAGGCTGTACTGTGTGTATTCCACGGGCCATGGGAGGTGGGGGCCATGCCCCACAACTTGCCAGCACAGAACAATAGCTAACTCTTTGATCTTTGCCAATCTGATAAAAAGGGTGTCTTAAGATGGGTTTTTGTTCCAGCTTGATTGAGATATAATCAATATACAGCATTCTGTAAGTTTAAGGTGTATGATGTGATGATTTTTTTGTTGGTGGTGTATAATTTCTTTACAATATTGTGTTAGTTTCTGCTGTACAGTGAAGTGAATCAGCTATGTGTATACCTATATCCCCTCCCTCTTGGACCTCCCTCTTACCCCACCCCCAATCCCACCCATCTAGGTCATCACAGAGCACTGAACTGAGCTTCCTGTGCTTTATAGCATGTTCCCACTAGCTATTTTACGCATGGTAGTGTATATATGTCATTCTTAATCTCCCAATTCGCCCCACCCTCCCCTTCCCATCCTCTGTCCACATGTCCATTCTCTACTTCTACATCTCTATTCCTGCCCTGCAAATAGGTTCATCTGTACCATTTTTCTAGATTCCACATATATATGCATTAACATACGATATTTGTTTTTCTCTTTCTGGCTTACTTCACTCTGTATGACAGACTCTAGGTCCATCCACATCTCTACAAATGACTCAATTTCGTTCCTTTTTATGGCTGAGTAATATTCCATTGTATATATGTACCACATCTTCTTTATCCATTCATCTGTCATTGGACATTTAGGTTGTTTCCATGTCATGGCTATTGTAAATAGTGCTGCAATGAACATTGGGGTACATGTGTCCATTTGAATTATGGTTTTCTCAGGGTATATGCCCAGTAGTGGGATTGCTGGGTTGTATGGTAATTTTATTTTTAGTTTTTTAAGGAATCTCCTTACTGTTCTCCATAGTGGCTGTATCAATTTACATTCCTATCAACAGTGCAAAAGGGTTCCCTTTTCTCCACACCCTCTCCAACATTTATTGTTTGTAGATTTTTTTGATGATGGCCACTCTGACCAGTGTGAGGTGATACCTCATTGTAGTTTTTATTTGCATTTCTCTAATAATTAGTGATGTTGAGCATCTTTTCATATGCCTCTTGTCTATCTGTACCAATGGCATTCTTCACAGAATTAGAACAAAAATTTTTGTTCTAATTTTCTAATTCCATACAATTTGTAT